TAGAGAGAGTATAAGCAATAATGGGAAGGAACAAGGGTTTTTGCTGGTTGAGATAAGGATAGCTATACAGGGCATTGACTCACATTGATTTCCTGTAAGCAGTGATTGTAACAGCTAGTACCAAGCAGGATTGCTGTGTAGATTATGTGAGCTAATTTGCGTGAATTGCTTAGCACATTGCTTGGTGCACAGTTAATGCTTAATGATTTGTAGCTAATTTTAAATTCTCCTCTTTTTATTTATATATACACATCAGTTTATTTGATTTTTAAAAGGTGGATTTTTTTTTTTTTTACAATACAGTTCCACAGGTGGTTCCAATACATGTATGCTTAAGAATAACTAAAGTGTACCCTGGGAAGTAAATATTGAAGGGGTTCATATTGAGGAGGGGAGGAAGAAATTGCCTTCCATCTTATGGTATAAAGTGGGAAACGGGGGAATGTAATGGTTCTATGTACCTGTAGGGTGTTATACAATGCAAACAATTAAATTTCTCTTTCTATTTCTCAGGTCTACAACTCGAACAAAGACAGTCAGAGCGAAGGAAGTAAGTATGACTGGGTAGTTTTCTGCAGCCAGTGTTGGGAGTGGGCTTTGAGAATTTGCTGTTCCAAGGGTCAACCACAGGGAGGTGCTGTGGGCACACTGGGTCAGCCCTGTTATTTCAGTGTGGTTTGAGATGTTTCTATGTGAAAAAGTCAGATTTTCATGTCACTGGCTGTTCACTGAGCATGATTGTAATGACAATTTGCATTTAAATAACTCTCACACATTACATACCATTCTTGCTTACATTATTCCCTTAATCTTAGGGCATCCTAAAAACTATAACTCCAGTCACCACTTAAAAGTCATTTCATTCACTAATACCCCATACCTCAAGAGCCTTATGCTTTGGGAAAACCAAAGTTTGTGCTTGCCTCCTACACGGTCTGTCCAAAGAACTAGAGAGGCAGTGATTACATTGAGTGATGACTTACTAACTCTTTTTTCTCCATACTGCTTCTCTTTGTGGAACTGCCCCTGGGCAGTCTCTGTAGAAGTCCAGCACATTTTCCCTGCTGTAGGCTTTGAGCACTGTGGTTGATTATGATTTCCAAGGGCACCTGTAACCTTGTAATGCCTATGGACTAAAATGAGACTTCTGCTGGGAAAGTGTTTGGACTGATTATCTCTTTGGTGCATAGGTGAAAAAACAAATTCCTTCCAGGTTGCTACAAGAGTACAAAGGAAATCCTGTCCTCTCACCTCGATTTGCTTTGTAAAATACACTTAGAAAACAAATTCAAAGGTAGCCTTACCATGTATTTCAGTACTGTGAGGAAAATCATGACTTCTCCAGATGATTAGAAGGGTGATCTTTTTTATTTTTTAATGGAACAGAGATTTTTTTCCCATTCTTTCTGAACTACAAATCTTACCAAAGGGCTTATACAGTGTAAAATATTGAGTAATTTGGAATGTCTACTATTGATAGATTGAGAGGCCTTAATGAGACAAAAATGGGTGTTTTTCCTTCTCAAAAACTGAACAATGAAAAAAAATTAAGTATTGAAAGAAACAAAGAAATATTCCTCTGTGTCCTCATGCTGACCTGCTAATTCAGGTAGGCTTGCTGCAGAACATCTGAAATTAACTCTGACTAATACACAAAAACAACAACAGTGAAAACCACGACTTAACAGTACAGAAATATGGAAGGTTGCAGTGTAACTCACAGTGAGGAAAAGAACTGAAAGCACAGGCTCAAACAGACCAGCTCTAGAAACTCAGGAGCAGGAGCCAACAAGAAAGACCTTCTGGATACCATCTGAAGGATGATAAACTCTGGATTGTTTGCAGTCCTTGCCTCATTCTTCTGAAGATTCCGATTCCCAGGAAAGATGCCATGAAGTTGGTCTAGTTTGGACCTACTCAGGGAAAATGCACACCTTGATTGGCAGTTTCAAGAGTACTGACTAAAATGGGACTAAAATGGGAGGAGTGTAGTTTCTCAGGGGAGGGTCAGGGATGCCACCAGGACAACAGGGATGGAAGCCAAGCAGGCTGAAGTAGCAGATGCCCATACCAGGCTTCAATTTGAGACACACTCCTTCTATAAGAAAGGACCCACAAGAGTGGGAGATGCTTGTGAACGGAGATTTCTCAGTCAGAAGGTCACTTGTACCTTTCCACCTTACGACACTGCTTCTGTCTGCTAAGTGCCAACAATTTGGAAAGGTTCTATACAAAATGATTCTATTGGTTGGTACACCAGTTGCTTAAGCATTTGGGGAATGTGTTTTGGAAGCCTTTAAAAGGGACTATCCTTTACCCAAACAACTTGTATTAAAGTTGTTTTGTCTTTTACACCAACTCCTTTGTACAAAAGAGAAGTTCATTGGAGTACTGGTTATAATAGCAAAGAACTGAAGGCAATTAAATATCCAAAAGGGAGTTGGTCAAATGAATTATGGAACAGTACACAGCCTGTAAAAAGAACAAAGGACATCCTAATATAGTTCCAGAAGTAGTGGCCACAGTGTATTTTTAATTTAATTTTTAAAAAATAGACAATAAAATAAATTATTTGGCTCATGTACTTGGTAGATACATAGGAAAATAAAATATCTGGAGGCACACTTATTATGTAATTCAAAATCAAGAGGAAGTGTAGGTTATTGGGAGACACTGACCTTCTAATTAAAATATTCCTCTGTGGCTTGCATTTTCTACAGTTACCATATATTTTGTAATAATAGCCATGAAGTGACCACTTACTATGTCTCAGACACTAGGGATATATTATGTATAATAGGCTCTTCAGGTGTTTTTGACTGGCATTTTTAGATGAGGAAATTGAGACTAGTAAGCTCATGGGACAGAATTTAGTCTAAATTTTGCCTGATCCTGAAGGCAAATCCTGTTAAACATAAGTATATTGTAACTTTCTTAAGAAAAGAAAAGTAGAAAAAGTTCCATCTTAGACAATATAGATACTTGTGCAGCATTTCGCTTCTGGCATCCTGTTATTCACAGATAGGGGAGGTTTGCTTGCTTTGGGTGTCTAATGACCCTTTAATTGCTTACTTTTTCACCTAGCAAGCAGGAGAGAAAAGGGTAGGGTAAAAAATATTAGCCACTTTTTCAGGAATAGTTTAGGTAGGATTTGTTTTTCTAAGGTTTTATTATTCACTGATTTCTAGGCTGGCAAGAGCAAATAATGGGCCTGGCTTGGTGTTGCCTCGTTTTTATTTGGCATTAGAACTTCTCTTCTATATTATGAATTTCTTACCTCCCTCCCTCTGGGGATACAACCCAGGGCCTTGGGTACCTGAAGTACCTCTTCATTGCAGGAGTTTACAGTTTCACCCCACGCCCACCCATAGAGCTCATCTGCCATGGGTGGCCATATTGCTTAGGGTCTTGATTATTCAGCAACCTCTTTCTGTTCATGTCATGATCTAAACTCTTTTAAAGGTAAGAAGCCAATCTGATAGGAATTTAAGAGTAGGGCATTGCTTTTCACCAGATTCTCAATGTCTAGCATCCAAATCCTAGATGTCTAGCGTTTTGCTTCCTAGAAAATGTTTTGTTGTGAGTTTTGAGTACAAACATTTTCTCATAGAGCCAGAATATTCTGAAGGGGCAGATAGATTCAGACACTTGTGAATTTCTTGCCTTCATCTTGAAGTTTCTCTCAGGGCGTAGAATACCTGGCAGGTATAAGACAGGGTCACAAATAATATCTGTCAACTGCTGATATTTTCCAAATGGCCCAGTTGCCAAGGAGAGGATGGCCTCAAATAAACACATGCACATTTCTTTGCAGAGCTCTTTTCTGATCCTTTTTTTCCCTCTGTTCTCTGGATCTCAGGTATAGAGGCTTAGTCATACTCCTATGTTGTTGGCACATTATCATCACAGGTCCTTTGATCCATTCCTTTTCTCTTTCATTTCATTTATTCAATTGTTCTCTTTTATTTCTTTTCCCTACCTATATTTCTTTCCTCCCTTAGAGGCCACCATTCTAATGTGTACTTTCAAAATGCATTCTTGGAAGATGTGTACCTTTTATCTGCCTGTGTTTTTAAGTTACATAAATGGTTATGCTTCTTTTCTGATCTTTCTTTGTCCCCTCAGCATTGTGTGAGGATCCATCCATATCTCTCTGCATACCTCTTGACAGTGGCTTCTGACTGCTGCCTCCTGTTTTTGTAGAGATGCACTTCATACCTTCATCTCCCCATACCTCCAGCTCCCCACCACTGCTAATGACTCTGCAGTCAGCTTCTCTGCACGTGTGTCCTCTTGTGTGAGGAGGTCTTTGGGCTGTGCTCACAGGTCAAATTGCTTTTCTATGCATAGGCTTAGTTAGGTGCTTGCACATTGCTCTTCAGAGTGGTTGGTTCATAGTCTCATCAGCCCCATGTGCAAATTTCTCTATCCTTGCCAGCTCTCACATTTCTTGCCAGTCTAATAGATATAAAATGATAGTTCATTGCTGTTTTGGTTTGCGTTTCTCTGATAATTAGTGAGTTTGAACAACTGTTCATATGCCTATTACTTCCCTGGGTTTCCCTGGCTGTTAATTGCCTATTCATGCCCTTTATCCATTTTCTTATGTCAGTTGCCTTCTTTTTCTTGTTGATTTACAAAGTTTCTACTGTCTAAATATTAATCCCTTGTTACTTGTAGACATTTTATTTTATTTTTGTGGTGCTACTGAACCCAGGGCCTTATGCATGCTAGGCAAGTGCTCTAACACTAAGCTATACCCCCTGCCAAGTTTTATAACTTCTAAATACATATTCCCATCTTGCCATCTGTCTATTAATAGTGTAAACTATATCATTCCTTGCCTATAGAATTATACTTTTATATATTCACATTATCTTTTTAAGAATCTTTTCTCTGGTTTATGATTTTTAAGTTTTATTTTGAAGGACTTTTTGACCCATGTTATAAAGATACTCACCTCCCTTTGCTTTTTATTATCTTTATGAGTGTGTCACTGACATTTAGGTTCCTGATTCAGCTGATGTCCAGCATTCTGTATGGTGTTTTATGCAGACCCAGTCGTACTTTTAGACACATAAAGAGTCAGTTTCAACATCTACTGAATTCTCCATTCTTTTCCCCTGTGGGTTGGTAGTATCTATCGGCTTTGCATGTTAGGGTTATATATGTTAGTTTTACCTCTGAGCTGTCTATTTATTTAGGTTTGTTTTATTGATTTTGGGCCAACACTTCTTTGTTTTTAATGAGATGATGTGGAATCAAATTTTAATATCTGGTTATGTAAGTTTCTTTCTTTTAGTGTCCTTTTTAAGGGTTGACTTAGTTAATTGTTAACCATTATCCTTCTAGAACGAGTTTAATAAGTTCCTTAAAAATGAAATTCTCATTATGGATTACAATGAATCCTATAGGTCAATTCTGGAGAAGATCAATACTTTTATAATATTAAGTCATCTTCAAGAGATTTGTATATCTTTTCATTAATTCAGACCACCAGCCACCTGAATTTGAATTTTAGTTTTCTGACTTGAGATCTTGTGTGCTGAT